TGGAATTAACCGATTTCGAAAATGACAAACATATACAAAAATTGATGAACGAACTTCGAAGTTATTTATACCAAATTTCTGGTCAACAAGCACCCTTCTATCTTTTAAAACAATTCTTTACAACTAGTTCACTTAGTCAAGTTAAACCGTTCACTGAATTTCTCAAATATTTTCTTATTGATGCCTCACCACTATTTGTTGCCAATGCTTATAACAAAGAAGGTAAAATGAAAACACTCATTGATATGGATCCTAATTTATATGCATTGACAATGAAGACTAGTACCGCTGTTGTGCATTCAAATGAAATGTCTATCCATCTGGTATTTGATCTGCTCAATAATTTTCTTTATTCCAATGATAAAAATATTGATGAGCAAGTCATTTTTGACAAAAATGATACAGCATCTTTGCTTTGTTTTGGTGGATTCTTGTTGTTCACTGGTGATTATGATAAAGCAATTCAATATTTTAAAATGCTCTTAGAACATGAGTTGATTAATGATAATACAAAAGCACATATACATGTCTTGCTGGGTTCAAGTTATATTATGAAAAAAGAAAGAGAATTGGCACTGAAATCTTTTGACAAAGCGTTTCAATCATGTATGCCACAATCCATACCACCCTGGCTAGCCGCTTCCATTGCTTCTTTACATAGTACATTGCATGATCATTATCAATCCACAAATCAAACACTTCAGGAGCTTCAACTATTAATGAAGAACCAACAGTCTGATAATGATGATTTTGAAAAATTGCGTCTATTACATTTAGGTAACGTTTGTTCAGAGCAACAAAAATTTATCGATGCTCTTAATTATTGGGAAGAAGCCGTTGAAATAACATCCTACATGCCTTCTTCACTTGTAACTATTCTTAAAGGAGCTATTTATGTGCAAATGGCAGCAGCATATTTCCGAATAAATAACATATCTAAAGCGTTAAATGTCATGAAAACAGCAATGCAATATTTCGAATGCTACTATCCATCTACACATAGAATGTTCGCTAGTTTTCACTTTCTATGTGGTTATTATCTTATACATAATGAAAAACCTTCTGAAGCCGTCGTCCACTTAAACAAAGCATTGGAAAATTCATATTTTTCTCAAGATAAAGAATTCCTTGGGAATGTTTATGCATTATTGGTAATGGGTTATATTCAATCTGACAATTTTGATCTTGCAGTAGAATATTGTGATAAAGCTGAGCCATATATATCACCAAACAATATCAGCGCAGCAATTCCTCAGCTAGCAGCAGAGATACCCGAAATAAAGATGATAACCACATATCAAGATCCAAACCATGCTCGTCAAGTTGTTCGCACTGGTTTGCTACTCGGTAAACTATTGCTTTCAGTCAATGTTCCAAATCCTACTACACAACCTCAATCTATTGATGAATTTATCGCTATTGCTGATCATCATCGTCATTGCCAAGATGATGTACGTGCACAGATATTTTATACTACAGCTCTCGATAAAACGACCGAAATTGATTCTAAACATCTATGGAATATTTATAGAAAAATGAGAAGAATGGATGAGAATGATTCATATAAAGATTATTTTACTGCTTTATATTCGAAATATGATGATGAAAATCCAAAGCACTTTGAAATAATTTCCACAATACAAATAATTCTGTATAAATTCTTTCTATCTGAAAATGAATTAAAAGAAGCATTCGATTGTTTAATACATGGAATATTTCTCAAGATAAAATTTATATATTATCAGAATAATGTCTTCAATTCGAAATATATTTCAGATTTATTTTATCATTTTATCCACCAAGAACAAATTATTCAAATTGTATCTATTTTAACTAAATTAATTCAACTATATTCTACTGATTGCTCGAGATTTCTACAACAGTTTCTATCGAAATTTTTTTCTTTTAATAATCTCAACATAGATTTATCAAAAATTATTCATCATGAACAAATTGACACCATGTTGAATGAAATTAAATCACAATCATTTTCTTTACTCCTTCACACTTTGTTACAACTTGTGCGTCAAAGTATTCAACCACCGAAAAAATCAGTTCTCTCGCTTAAGGACCAAGTTTTGCAATTTCTTCACAACTATAATGACAAAAATGCACCTTTGTTCTATTTAATGGTAATATTTCTGTCTTTACTTGATAATGATACACAAGCTTTTTTCTTCAACCTCGAACAAGTTCGACTGAATATCATTACTTTCGAACACTATGAAAAACTCAAACAAAAATTATCCAATTTGTTCAAACAAGTCAAAGAAGATTGGTTGAAGGAATGCTTACAACATATTGCAACAAGTCTGACAACTCGATAATTAATTATACTTCCTGTTTTTTTAAAAGAAAACATAATAAATAGTTTGAAGACTTTTAATGGCTCGAATTGTTTTGAAAAGCTTTCATTCACAGATATCTCGAATCAACGCTAACAACTTTAAAAACAAATGATTGACATCTACACTTCATTTAAAATTAATTTCTTTATTGAAATATTGTTTCATACACAATCTTGATAATATATGAGATTCAATCCCAATCAGATAATAAATACATACGTTCTGTATCCGAATGACTTGTGTACAGACTTTGATTTCAGTGCTAATAATGCAAAGGTTAGTGCTGGTGGTTAATAAGATTGATCATGATCGGGTCAAATAATCATCTTCACGACACAAAGTACGACACACAAAGCA